CTTTTAGACTGTAAAAAGGTGTAAAAAGGCCCAACTGTGTTAAACAATTAAATAACTTTTTGGACTTACGAATTGATTCAATTAGGTTTGGGGATGTTTTAATAAAAATCAATTCAGAGTTGATTTTTCAAAAACTGATGTTTTCAACACATCACTAACTCCTGCCAGGTGTGGTGTGTTGTTTGCTCAGGTCTGCTTGGAAAGCCATCATGCCAACTCCAAACATAAATAACAAATATTCAACATCTTGATTGTCTTGGCCCAATGTCATAGAGTTTGTAGTTTACCCACAAGGACAAATGTTCTGCAGCCTGTTGAATGTGACATGTAGCCAATCAGAAAGCAAGGTAAGGAAAGCACCCTTAAAAATGCTTAAATTAGATTTTTCATAATTAAGGCCTTACAAATCCATAAAAATGACTAGTTATTCTTAAATGCGGAGTCCAAAGCTCTTACAAATAGCACAGAGCCAGTAAACAAGATTTCTTTTTTTCATCTGACGATCTCAATTAAGAATTTCATCATTTGTAATTGGTGTTTTGAGGTTTTGTGAATGAGACTGACATGAGAGGAACTACTACGATTCTTCTGGCTTCCGTAAACCTGCAGACAGGCCACGTCTGAGCATCGAGTCGTACAGCGTGAGAACACAACTAGTGAGCTTTGCTCTGCAAGGAAGTCATACAGCGCAATTTTTTTCCCACACAGAGTTGTTAAAGCTGCTATTTGGAAAACAATTAGCTTAAAAATGTTTTTCATGCAACATTCTAACATAGCTATGAATATATTGTGAGGATAAAAAACAAAAGAATTAATGAATTGGTTCTTTCACATTTGTCTAAAAACCTCCGCCAACAGTGAGCCTAAGTCTCCTCCCTTTGCGGTCAGCTCACGGGTCCCCAGAAGAACGAAAAAATGAATGCAAGTCAACGGGGCTAAAAGAGCTTTTTTCTAATCTGCTTTGCTTTAGACCCTGGATCACACCTATGTTGTACTGTAATTTCAATGAAAACCAATGATGGGTGTTTCGACTATGCCCGTCACGTACTTTGAGATTTATCGACTTGTAAAAGTTCGTAATTAGCATGACTACACATTAGATATCGGCACGTCGCATATACGACGTCACCACAGAATCTCTTCTCCTCTAGCGTAGCTGCTACTTACCACATGGCCACATTTATGGTGGGGTTTTTCCTCCTGAAGGAAGGATTTAAGTTCGCTAAACTTACAGCCATTTTCCTCTTGTTTTTCTCCATGTATGGTTTGATGACGTCACTTTTGTGAAGCATATTTGTAGTCCTGGACTTATTGTCATACAAACCTAAAATAACGTTTCCCCCGTTCACGAATAAGAGAGTTCTTGGTATCAAAAGGCACATTTAAAATTCACGGACATCATGTGAAATCCATGGCACATAACAAGTGGAATTAGAAAAAAACGTTTTAGCCCCGTTGACTTGCATTCCTTTTACCGTTCTTCCGGGGACCCATGGTCCAGAAGAAGATGAGCGTGACTTATAACACATTTTGGACCCAAAGCAACTATTGGACCCTCTGGTTGTCAGTCTGAGAGATTCGTGGCACAATAATGTCTGAGAAGGAGAAACAGCTGGCTGCTACCACATCAGCTTTAGAACAAACAACCAGAGTCCCACAAAGAAAAACACCGTTTGAAATCATGGACAACAAAAGACATTTGGACGCAGAAACCAGCGACCGGTCTTTAGGGCCATCTTGTTTCCTTCAGCATCGCAGGTTTCTGGTTGCGGCGGAAGCGCGTCTCAGGGAAGATACTCGAGGGGAGGGGTGAGTGTTCCGTGACCGTGCTTGTGTTTAGAACCTAGCTTGTTCTGTAGATGTGCTACAGCAGCTTTAAATTCATAGCTCCGTTAGAAAAATAGTCACTGAAGTGTTTTCTTCAGGACACGCACAGACGCACACCCAGACAAAGTGTGTTGTGCGTCACTCGTCCAGACATGCACACAGTGGCCGTTGATGTCTCCTCACAAAGCATACTCACAGGCAAACACATGGGATAACAATGCTGCAGCTCATGCACACACTGCTTCACGTATGCTTGTGCATAAAATCACAGCGACAGGGAGCAGACAAAAGACGGCACTGTTCCTTAAAAAATGACGTGCATGCACAATATTCACACTCACAGGTCTAAATAGATTTTCTCACATCGCTGTTGAGGACAAAGAGTCTGCTAGGCGCGCGTGCACACACACACACGCACACACACACACACACACTGATTTCCCAGGTTACTTTTAGCAACTTCTTTTATTTCACATCACTTGTGTTTTATTGTGTGCCTCAAACAATGCAGATTTCTCCCTTTGTTCTTGGTTGATAGAGTCGACACAGGCTCATATCCTTCTCGCTTTCACGCCCGGGTTCTGGGTGTTAATTTACCCCAGGAAGCTGGCACATGCTCTGAGTCATGATTAACATCACTCTATTTCGTCGTTTCAGGTGCCAGAATCTAAAATCAGATCACCTCTTGCATCATTCATGGCTGAATATTAGGGTTAAGGTTAGCGTTAGTATGATGACTTGAAGTTTAACTTGTTTGGTCCCAACTCCAATCCTGCATGTGGAGGAAACCAGAACCCAGGCTTGGCCCTGGTAGTAGAATGGCGATGGCAGCATCGTCCTGGGAGGGCGTTTGTCTTTGGCAGGCACCAAAACTTTTTTTCTCCAAGGGTTTTTTGGGTTCAGAGAGTATTGCCTGAAGCAAACTGCCTAACAAACACAGGATTGTTTCAGGGAAACCAGAAGAGCTGAACCAACCACTTATGTCGCAAAAGAATCAGAGAAATTTCCCCAAAACAAGCGCTAAGTGGCATGCCTATGGGGTCATTCCTGAGGGATCTGAACAACTCTTTTCAGTTGTTAAAGAGGAAGACACTTCTCCATTTGTGATATATTTTTAAATGATGCATTTGTTACTAAAATAGCATAAAAAGCCTGTTTAAACAAGCTTCAGTATAGCTGTAGACATGTTTGGTTTTAATCTCAGCTAAATAAACTTAGATTACTAGAACCACATTCCCAGTTTTGAAATAACCACTTCTGTTAATCAGTTTTTTTCTTCTCCTGTTTCACAAAGATGTACAGTCCAGCATTTATGTCTTTGTGTAAAAACATACAATGATTCATTCTTGGGTGATAGTGTCACATCCTTTTTCCTTCATCACATCTGCTGACTGATTCGCCACAACAATGGCTAACAGGAAACCGCTAACTTATTGTCACAGCATCAACAACGGCCTCACAGGTGTGATGCAGCACGTGTTTGGCTTTGCAGGAAAGTCCATTTAGCTCGTTTTAAATGCTTTCAACAAGTCCTTAAATACTCACCCAGTATTTGAAATGGCATGTTCTGTGAAAACACTGTGAAACCAGCAAATAAATTCCTAAAACGTAATCATCTCTTTTCATTTAGAGGAAAAATCTCCCCTGGTCCCTGGTTTCAGAATGAGTGTTGACGTCCCACTTGCCTTTTAGTCAACGGGACATTAGGGACATGGGAATTATTCTTTCTTTGTCCATGTTGATTCCTCTTTATTCACATTCCCTGTTGATGTGCAGTATTTGCTTCCAAATATCCTGCATAGCAGCAGTCAAACAAAAACTTGTAGTTTCACCTTTCAAACGTCTTCCATATGTTTAAGATATTTATATATGTCAGTGGCTTTAATGTTTGTTTTGTTATTCAGTAGGCTATGAATTTCAGTTGATTGTCTACTGATTATCAGGTCTCAACATCTAGAGGCGACGGTGGCACAGGAGTTAAGTGCTCGCCCCGTAATCTGAAGGTTGCAAGTTCGACCGGTGGAGCCTGTGTACGGGCGCCAAATACAGGCCATTTGTAAAACTGTAAAGATTTACTTAAAGGTGTGATTCACTTGTTTAATTGACACATTTGTAGTTGTCTCTAGTACAAATGAAGGCCTTGTAAGTTACTCTGGGTACAAAAAGCCCTGGTGCACCTGTTTCAGGATCTAGAAGACTGCCAGATCAGAGGAGAGCTTCATATGGCAGGATTTGGAGTCTTACTTCCTGATATTTGGACATCTCACCTCTGATTGGCTGAAAACAATGCGACTCTACTGCTATCTCTGTTTGCTCTGCAACATTGATGTTTTAGCTCCACAAATAACACAAGCCTGAAGGAGTTTTGCCATGTGGTGGAGTTGCTAATGCTAACAGTTAGCTACTACTAGGCCGACATGTTCTCTGCTGATTCCTGGCAATTCCATCACAAGTCAAGATGGGCAAGTTCATGAATGTTAGCGACAATGTGTTGTCTCACTGTCAGGCTTTTCAAATCCTAGCGATTCACCATCTATTTTCAATTGGATGCTAATGCAGGAGATAGGTGTAGGAGACTTTTCATGTTCAGCCTGCATGAAAAACTCAAAATAACCAATGATAATTAGAAAAACTAATAATAAATGGTTCTTCAGTGAACCACACCTTAGTTATATTGAAATCGCCTCATTTTTAGATCACACAGTGGTTTTCAAACTTGGTGCCAGCTTATCCATTTATTTCAATCAATCAATCAAAGCTTTATTTATAAAGCGTCTTCCGCGGCCCTGTCGGGAAGCCCAAGGCGCCTATTTGAGGTCATATCTGGGAACAGTGAAAGTGTAGACATTGTGGTAGGTTTATGCAACAGTTTAAACACCTGAGTACATACAAAATACACACAGACTGAGCGGGATTATAATGGAAACACGATTACTAGACACTCTTTGTGTTTTAGAAAGCTTTTAAAGACTTGTCTCTTTGATCTCACTTTTAAATTATTTTAGATTTCCCCTTTTCCTGTTTTTTATTTTTGTTGTTGTGAAGCACTTTGTGATTCCCATCTGTGAAAGGTGCTACATAAAGAAATAACCATTTCTTTCTAGCCGACGTCCAACTTTCTTGTTCATAGGTCACATCTGATTTGAGTCTACTAATATTTGACCTTTCCTCAGGTCCTCAATGCTCAAAAAGCTGGCTACAAGGCAGCTGTTGTTTATAATGTGGACTCGGAGGACCTGATCAGCATGGCTTCCAATGACCGTAAGTCCCCGTCCCTTCACACCACATAACCAGCTAATTAGAAACATTTATCATTGCATCTCTTTGGATTTCTTCAGTGGAAATGCATTTGAAGTCACAGCATGTTATGTAAGGGCAAACTATTCTTCAGCCCTGCAGCAGCAGCCTGGATGGACCCAGGATTCAGGTTTACTTTAGTCCTGATTGGGTGTACTCCTCCTCAGCCAGTGTCCCCACTCACAGCAGGTGCTGATTGTCCATTTAAACCAGTTAATTGGTTTTAACCAACTGATTTTAAAGATGGTGGCAGGAGAATCTCATCTCCTCTTTATGCGGATGATGTGGTCCTCCTAGCTTCATCAGGCTCTGACCTACAGCTCTTGCTGGGGAGGTTCGCAGCCGAGTATGAAGTGGCTGGGATGAGGATCAGCACCTCCAAGTCTGAGACCATGGTTCTCGACCGGAAAGGGGCGGCTTGCCAACTCCGGGTCGGGAGAGAGGTCCTGCCTCAAGTGGAGGAGTTCAAGTATCTCGGGGTGTCGTTCACGAGTGAGGGAAGGAGGGAGCGAGAGATCGACAGGCGGATTGGAGCAGCGTCTGGTGAAGGAGCTGAGCCCGAAAGCAAGGCTCTCGATTTATCAGTTGATCTACCGCCCAGTCCTCACCTATGGTCATGAGCTTTGGGTAATGACCGAAAGAACAAGATCACGGATACAAGCGGCCAAAATTAGTTTTCTCCGCTGGGTGGCTGGGCTCAGCCTTAAGCCTGGTTTATGCTTCTCCGTCAGCTCCGCAAGGGACAGACACGCACGGATTGATGGAAGCATTTTGCTCTCATACTTCTCCGTCTCCTGGAGAGTGTTGCAAAGCAATTGCCCGGCAGGACAACAGAGGACGTAGAGCTGTTCTGTGGTATCCTGTCATGTATCGGTCCAAGATCGTGTGTTTATATTGTGTTTTTTGTGTATATAAGAGACTTTTAACACGGACATATTTGTCTCTCATTCTCCCACCTCTTCATGCGCTCCCCACCTCTAAACCCACGTTTCCTGTCATTTCCGTCCACAAATAAAACGCTTGCTGCACATCTTTTCACTCCTCCAGTCACGGGAGGATGAAACGTTCATATTTTTAGAGTTTTTTCGCGAGGTATTCTTCAAGCTTCTCCGTGTCTGCCGCTAGTTATCCTCGGCTCTCTTTGCAATGGCGGCGCTGTAAACAACAGCGGCATCCTGACCAATCACAAGCTTGCGTAATCCGTCTCGTTCGACGGATGTTTAAAAAAGTGGGCTCGACTCCGTACGTACTTGCGTGCCTGCCGGAGCCCTACGCAAGGACGGATAATGGCGTTGCGTGTCTCCGCACTGACGCAGACGGAGAAGCATAAATCAGGCTTTAGGGATAGGGTGAGGAGCTCAGACATTCGGGAGAGGCTTGGAGTAGAGTTGCTGCTCCTCCATATCGAGAGGAATTAGTTGAGGTGGTTTGGGCATCTTATTAAGATGCCTCCTGGACGCCTCCCCAGGGAGTTGTTTCAGGCATGTCCTGCCGGCAGGAGGCCCCCTGGTCGACCCAGGACATGTTGGAGAAAGTACATCTCCGAAGTGGCCCAGAAACGCATTGGGGTCCTACCGGAGGAGCTGGTGGAGGTGGCCGGAGAGAGGACGGTCTGGAGTTTCCTAGTTGGGATGCTGCCCTCACGACCCGGACCCGGGTAGACAGAAGAAGACGAGACGAGATTTTAAAGACATCCGTTTGAGAACTATAATCGTAAACCTTCTTAACGAGTGTGACACCATTTCACTCAGTTCGTTTTGCTAAAATGTTTATTTTCAATCTTAGCTCTTTAGATCACTTTGAGATTTTATCTTCAAAATGCTACATTTTACTCTGAATAAAACATTATTCAGTTTCATTAGAAATGCTTAACAAAACGTGTTTTAGAGGAATTTCTTCAACAGTAAATGATGTAATTATTGTATGCTTGTCGTGTTCCTGCTCTTTCTAGTGGATGTGGTGAAGCAGATCGTTATTCCCTCTGTGTTTGTGGGTGAGGAGACTGCCAATACTCTGAAAGATGACTACATGTATGACAAGGGGTGAGTCTAAACCCCATTTGTTAGATTTTCTTTGACCTTCAGTTCAGGTAGAAACCATTTTCTGCTAATCTCTGAATGTTTTGTAAAGCCTCGTACTCGGGCACGTCTTGGTTAGCTTTGAGAGCATCGCTCTGAAATCTGCCGAGGACGGGGGCTAGCTTAAGCCGCTGTTGTGCGAATATAATCTTTTTAAAAGGAAAGCCTCCATGTGGGCGCAGAAGTCTGAATTTAAAACAAGGTGTTTGTTATGTGTCCTCACACCTGAGGGTTACCATTCTTAGCACTGAGGATGCAGAGGGAGGTTTAATACATGTCATTATGTGACTGTCACCATGTTAAACAACAGGAAGGTGAAAAATCCTTTAAGTGCTGCCTTGATGCGTGGCTCGTTATCACTTTATAACGTCTGTGTGAAATGCATCCTCCATCTGAAAATGCTCTCGCTGTGTGACCAGGGGACACGTGGTCCTCGTCCCAGACTTCAGCCTGCCTCTGGAGTACTACCTAATCCCCTTCCTCATCATCGTGGGAATCTGCCTCATCCTCATTGTTGTCTTTATGGTAGGCATATTCAGGGTATTTTATATTTTCTAACCCAGTCTTTCCCTAAATAAGAAAATGTAAACACAATTTTAAAATTTTTACTTCTTGTAAAAAAAAAAAAAAAATTAAAAAATTAACGTCCAGGCTGGATTAAAAACATTCCCTTTTCCTTGGTTTTTGAGATCCGTTTTCTTTTTCTTTTAAAACCAGATCACCAAGTTTGTCCAGGACCGCCGCAGAGCTCGGAGGAGCCGCCTGCGCAAAGATCAGTTGAAGAAACTTCCCATCCACAAGTACAAGAAAGGTGGGGAAGTGGCCGTGGGTGTCACAGTTTAAAACCATACGGGTGAAATGTGGAGGCGTAACTGTTGTTGTAACTTTAACATCAGAACTGCGCTTCAGTGGAGCCAGAGTCTGACTTTAGTAGAGGGCACAACAGCGATAAGATGGTCTGGGATCGGTTAGCCGTGTCTGCCGCTTTCACCTGCTCACAAACGTCTTCCTCTCACATGATCCAAGTCGGAACAGAAACGTAATCCATGTATTATGACACATCATTCCTCTGAGGAGCACTGCACCTTGGTGCTAATCGGATTAATACGGACTTGATTTTTCCACCGAGCCACACCACGGCGGATTACAGGCTGGACACATGACTGGTGATCTGGAATGTGGTGTGTTGTCTGTTTGTCAGGAGAGCAGCTTCTGCAGCTTTTTGTTTGAAGGAATTGTTCCAACCTCCTCTTTAAATACTCTAGTGAATAAACTGCATGTCTCCATACCGATTATAAATCCTTCCTTTTAGAGGGGTTTCGTGCCAGCTGTGTGTCCTGCAGCAGCTGGATTTTGCAGCTTCTAACTGTAGTCAGCTGTTCAGGGAAACACTAGGAAGCTTTGGGGAGAATGGGTGGTGCATCATAAGTACCCACCGCTCAAAGCTGCAAACTGAGCAATAGGGCTGCAACAACGAATCGATAAATTCGATGAAAATCGATTACTAAAAGCGTTGGCAACGAATTGCGTCATCGATTCGTTGTGTCGCACAACTCTTCCAAAAGCGCCCCCCCTTCCCGCCCGCCGTTGCGCGCAGACCAGAGCAAGTCAGATCAGCGCGAGGGAGAGCCGCAGATCAGCGCGAGGGAGAGCCGCAGATCAGCGCGAGGGAGAGCCGCAGATCAGCGCGAGGGAGAGCCGCAGATCAGCGCGAGGGAGAGCCGCAGATCAGCGCGAGGGAGAGCCGGTACAGGCAGATCAGCGCGAGGGAGAGCCGGCAGACTTGAGCTGCTGCGAACCGGTTCCGCATTGTTGCACAGCGATCCAGGCAGCTGCTTCCAGCGCACGGTCCATTCTCAAAGTGGCGCAACCAAAAAACTATAATTAGCACACGATCGTTCATGTCCGCACATGTTCTCTATTTTCTGTCTTATTTGTGCCTGAAGCGCGCTACTGCGGAGCTCATCACCTGTGCTGTGGTGATGTCACCTCACGCAGCATCGAAAACGCGCTCTGCGCTTTTCGGTCAGGAGATCCCTTTGACCTGCTCAAAAGTAAATGATGAGGTGAAAAGGTAAGAATCCAGGCAACAGATTTTCTGGAGAATTAAGAGGAGATGCAGGAAGATGAGAGACAGACAGGACAGGAAAATAGTTAAATAAAAACAAGAAAACAAAACAAAGTGTTGAAAAGTAAAATGTAGGTAGATTTATCTCCACTACACGTTTTTACCAGTAAAAAACAATAAGTTACACACATGTCATATTTATACAGCTGATACAATTCAGATCACCTTCAAAACTCAGTCACACCCAGGGCCGTTTCAAGACATTTTGGGGGCCAAGGCAAAATGCCCCCCCCCCCCCCCCCCAATAACTGGGCTCCCCAGAAGCCTCTGTGTAATTCATGCCCTCTCCAGTAGTGTTAGTTATACAGTGTTTATAAAAGCCCCTCAGACATTACTGACATGCTCTAATATTATCAGATGAAAAACTAAATTATCAGACATGCTGTCTCATCTGCTGCTTTTATAAACTTGCAAAAAGTAACAAAACCATTTGAAAGCCACTATTTGTGGATTCTCTGAAAGTTTCCATGGAGTGTGTGACAACTTATTTTTTCATTGATCCTATCGTCTAATCTCACAGCTGAAACAAGCATCCTTAATAATCTGTGCACAGGAAGCTTACCGATGCTGTAGTAAAACAAAAGGTATAATAATTTATTATTAATAAAACCTTGTTGCAACACTAAAGCAGAAAAATTAGATTTTGCATTAAATATGCAAAATATTTACATATGAATTGTTTTAGAGCCCTTTAATTGGCAGAATCTGATATTAATTTAGTTCTTACAAAAAATGGGTCCCAACATGGTTTGTGTGGCGTTGCCATAGTGTGACGTCATAGGCACAGATCCCCTGTCCTCTTGTTTGGAAATGGAAATATGGTCACCCTACATTAAACAAACTGTCCACCCGGGCTTTTGCGCTGCACAGAGACGCTTCGCTGCCTACGACTGAACGTCAGTTGAGAGTCAGTCTCATGCAGACTGACCAATGAAGAGAGGGCCTCAAGTTAAGACCCTCTCCTCATTGGTCAGTCCACACGAGGTGGGTCAAAGGTTACTCTGGGCGGGTTACGTGTTGTCAGGCATTCAAGTATTGAGTATATTTACTGCATATTACAGTAAAATATTCTGTATGTGACCACATTATGGTGATCCTCGGGTCGTGATGATGGAGCCCTTGAATATTGTTGCCCAGGGTACAACAAAGTGTTAATCTGGCCCTGGTTCCGCCGTCACATTCCCGCAGAAACTGGTTGATCACACCGGGGCCAGACTACTAGCATGTGGTTTTACAACCACAATGTCCTCAGAAGCAAAAACGCTTTTAAAAGGGAGGGAGGAGTCCTAACTGTTGCTGCAGGCGTGTTGTGTGAGAGTGCAGTTATATACTGGTTAATATATTTTTGGGTTCAGTTGCTTTCATGTGGCCTAATGTGAGTCTATTTGGGATCATTGGAATGATCAGCAGCATTTCTTGATGTGACTTTATGGCAGTTGCCCAGGGCATCATCGCAAGGAGGATGGCATTCATTTACTTTTGTTTTATTTGGTATTTTTTCAGTCATTTTTGGAAATAGTGATCAATTTTGATAAATTCACAGCCTATGTTTAATTACATTTAAAATAAATGTCAACAGATGAGATCAAACAAAACAGATGAGAATTGCCCTTAAGCTGTTTAACTTGGACCAAGCATTTTAGGTCACAGATAGATGTAGCTTAGGGTCTCTGTCTATACACCTTATAAGACAATTTAGGTGATGGCATGTTGTTTTTCTGCTATTGAACTGTTTTCTAATAATGTTGTGTTAAATAAAGTGAAGGAAGGAGAGAAATAACGTTTCCCTAGCAGTTTTTAAAAATTTCCCCATGTAATCCGATTAATCGATTAATCGTGTCGAGACCCCATCCGATTAATCGATTATCCAAATAATCGTTTGTTGCAGCCCTACTGAGCAAATAGTGAGCCAAGCTGCTCCTCCCTGGCTGGCGGTTTTTTGGTTAGCAGCACACTAGCTAAAAGCAATCCACCGTGTTTGAAGTTTCTGACTCAGGGGTTCCACGAGGCTTCTGCAGTCAACTTTAGCCCTCCACATGGCTGAGTCAGAGCCACACAGGAAGGGGACGCCAACTCTCTATGTGATCACCTTTTAAAGCCCTGTGAGCGATGCAGAGCTGGCAAGGAACCAATTGTCCTGATTTGAATCAGACTCTACATTTGCTGTTTAGAAGTTGTGCTGTTATGGAGTCCTTCCTCTGTGTGAGAGAGAGTGAAGATGTGACTAATAACATGAATTAAACAGATCTGTGTTCCTCTAGCCATTTAAAGGAAACATGCACCAGTTTTATACTTAAACTCAGTTCTGATTATGAGCTCTATTAGGGATAAAACAGCTGTGTCTGTCTGTGTGTGTATGTGTGTGTGTGTGCGTGCTGCGGAGGGTTTGAAGGATTTCTAACTGTGCCCCTGGCTTTAGTTTCCGCAGTTAACGCTGAGTTTGGACTCCAGGGGCTCTAAACAAAGGCAGCAGCAGTGACCAGAAGCACTGAGATAATGTGTCCATGTTGATTTTAGAGCTGTGATTTGTTCCCTCCTGCAAAGTTGCTGCAGAGGTGTTTGTGAGTTCTGAAATGAAAAATCACGTTTTCTTGCCAGTGCTTTTGTTCTGGCATGATGCCTTCCTGTTGATGAGCATTTCTTGCCACCTTCTCAGGTTATTTAATATTATTTTCACACAATTCTGCTGCAGTTGTTGAACACATTTATTCAGCTGAACATCTGAATGTTCGTTTTACTCTCTCTAACCAAGCTTTTGTGATGATCTCTGGTTGGAGTGATGTGAAACACCAAACTTCATATGTAACGTAAAAGGGCGTGTGTCTGTACGATCAATGCACAACACTAATAAAAACCACGCTACCTGTGTGATTCTGACAGGAGATCTGTGTCAGTGTGTGCAGGGTTATATAATAATGTAGGAGCGCCGCTGCTCTCCCGTTGACTTGACTTGTGCTCAGCGTTCATTACAGAGCGTTACATCATCCCCCGCATCAACGGCAAACCTGGTGGAGTACATGGTTTCAGGCTCTTGGACACACTCACAGGACCTAGCCTCGTCTTTGACCTCTGACCTCGGGGACATTCCTACCCCCCCCTTCAGCAGACCCACGGAAGACAGAGCAGCTGCTGTGTGTGTGCGCGCGCGCGCGTGTAGCATGTCGATGTCTGCACAGAGGGACTCTCTCTCTGGCCTCGCTGCCAGTCGGCCTTGTCTGGTTGGCTCAGGCTGTGTCAGACTGTAGGTGCTTTTTCTTTTTTTTCCCCTCCTCCTTAGACGCAGTTTTTCGGTCACACACACTTTCATTCGCTCGCTCCAACTCTGCTAAACACATTCATCGCTCATCCGAAGTTCAGTGGGCCAGCGTTGTTCCTCTTGAGAGCCAAAAGGATTCTGGCATCCAGGATGAAAAATGAAAACGAGGGGGGAGCCGCACTGATTTCTCACAGCTATGAATGTGAAGGCAAGAGATTACCGTCGCCAGATAGGATTCTGGTGTTGTTGCGTGATCAAAATACAAAAAATAAAAGATAACTAATTAAAATTGGACTCGGTAGCTTCTGCTTTTTGTGTTTGAACTGAAGTCACAGCAAATAAACGAACATGAGACACCGGAGATGGGAGGAACCTCCACAGCAGCTTGTGTGATCAGGCTAAGTGGGGACCAGTGTGAATTATGCTTTGCAGCAGAGTTCTGCACTCAGTGATTCTCCTTTGAAGGAATTACTTTGTTTATAACATTTATTTAGTGTTCACGGAACACAGAAAGCAGTTTTCCCGGATTTCCCGCCCTCCCTTACCGCGTCAAAACACCCCGCCTCACTGGGGAGGGCGCTGGACTGCTTTAGAAAAGAGTTGGGTCAAAGATTATCAGGGTGACGACTGCATCCATCTTTGGGACACGTGAAACCAGAGCTGCAGCAGTAAAGAGGAAGAACGGGTTTGGCGTGTTTTGTTTAGTTGCTGATGCTCAGAGAGAGAAGGAAGAGAGAGGAGAGAGCAGAGGAGGTGGGGGTTTCGGTGCGACTCCCCTTCCTTATACGGTCACATGCAGCTTTGGCACAGATACAGAAAGTCCAGTCAGGGAAAACATATTCTTTTAAAGCTGACATAAACACTCCGAGCCACAGCCTCCCTCCCTCCCACCCACACCCTCCTCCCTGCAGCCATGCCGGGGGAAGAGGATGGGACAGAAGAACGCTGAGGAATTTGAAAGGGAGTACGTAGATTAATTCCTGAGCTTTCAGTGCAGTGAAGGACTTTGCACCTCCTATTACATCAGGAAATGCGATGCTGGCAGCTAAAAGGCTGCTCTGTCTGCAGACCGGGGGACAGGTCTGGATGGGTGGGACAGCCAGCGGGTTCAGAGACATATTTGGACAAAGAATTGAAGGAAATCAGACTCACAAGGCTGTGGCGATCCTCATTTCCTTACACATCATGAAGCTACCCAATCCCAGCAGCAAAAATGTTTCAGTCAGCTATTGACTTGATGTGAATAGGAACATTTACCGTTTCCTGTCAAAGTTTAATAAAGTGATCAGATATGTTCCAATCAGAAACTTCTTGTTTTCAGTTTGTAATGTTAGATTTTAGCAGAGAAATAAAATGTGTTTGTTTAACAGCTCAATTCTAAACATGTACTGTGTTTTAGGAGATAACTACGATGTGTGTGCCATCTGTCTGGATGAATACGAAGGAGGAGATAAACTCAGAGTCCTGCCTTGTTCTCACGGTGAGCCTTCTGCAGGCATGAACTTTAAATCACATCGGCTCTAACGTTAAAACTAATGCATAGAGCTGAAAAGGTGTGATCAGATCTGGATACTGTTATAAAATATTTAAAAGTGCCTTTTTTGTTTATTTGAATTCCAACAAATGTCTTAAAATGTCTGTGTTGTTTCTAGCCTACCACAGCAAGTGTGTGGACCCCTGGCTGACCAAAACCAAGAAAACATGTCCCGTGTGCAAGCAGAAGGTGGTCCCCTCTCAGGGCGATTCCGAGTCTGACTCAGAAGAGGGGGACAGCGGCCCCGATGAGAACGAGGTGTCGGAGAGCACGCCGCTGCTTCGCTCCCTGGCCTCCACCAGCGCTCACTCCTTCGGCACCATGTCGGGAGCGTCGCACTCAGAGCGAGACCAGGATTCCTCAGAGTACGAGGATGAGCTGGACAGCAGTGACCGTGAGGAGGAGGTTACGGTGGAGACTGTGGTGGTCCAGATGCAGCAGCCATGCTCCGAGGACCATGAACAAGACTTGCCCCGAGCTTGACAGATGTGCTACATCAGTCACCTATGCCTGACCTTCCCCCACCTCACAGCTGTAGACTTCAGTTGGGGGGGGGGGTGCAAAACTGGTTCATGGTCCCAGTTCTTGGTCTTTTTTTTTTTTTTGGTAAGAGTTTAAAGTTTCACGGTTCACAGAGCAAAGTGGCAGCATCAGGAGGCTCCTCAGCAGATCTGATTCTGAACCAACCAAAGGAGCTTGAGTTCCACACACGTCCAGTAGAAGCACCGTCTGTATATAAGCAACATGTTGTCTTCTGTCCTTAAGGTGAATGATGTAGATACAGGCCCATGCCTCAGCTCCATTTGAAGCTTTAGGCAGTTAAAGCTGCAGCAATGCATTAGAAAGTGCTTCACTTGTTTTGTGCCACAGCTCGTTAGCTGCGAGCGCCATTGGAAGTGAAACCCAAGGAAGTTGTGTGAAAACTTGCTGAATGTGCATTTTCACGAGGCAATCACATGAAAGAGTGGATTAAATTCGTGGTAAACTTCTGCTGACTTAACACTCAATTACCGGTTGATGTAACAGGCATTTAAATATTCTCGTGTAAGTTTGCGAATGCCGTTTTATTTTTAAACTGCTTTTGTTATCAATCGTTGCCTTGTTTTTCCTGTTCTTAGAACAAACCACTTCAGTACAAGGAAACAATTTCTTAAGGTTTTACTTTGTTTATAAACACATTTCAGCCAGTTTGTTACATGTGAGTTAACGAAGGACCTTAGTCCAAAAATGTCACGAATCATGCTTTTATAGTTCAAATTAAACCGCAAGATCCTGTTTATTTTGGTTATTTAATGTTGCTCATTTTCTGCCTGCTGTTGTACATGATCAAATAAAGGGATGTCTGATCCCACTCGGATACGTGACTTCATATCATGATCTGCTTTAGTTTGTTTTCAGTCCAATTTTTGGACCTAAAAACAAGATGCTCTAAAGTAATGGTCACATCATCCAACATGTTTCATTACTGAATACATTTCATTTGAATAAACAAGGATTGCTTTCGGACACCATAAAACTCCCCCAGCTAAACAGAACGAGAAGGCCTCAGATTTTAAAAAATCATGCGAGTGAATAAACCCCATATACTTCTAGAGGGATTCATCAGAATTTTCTTAAAGGAATTATTCTAGAAAAATTGTATTAATTATTTCTATTTTTATTCTTATAACCCTCAAAGCTTTACAGTTAATTCAAAGTATGTTATTGTTCATTTTGCTTTGGAGGTGTAATAGGAGTCAAACTTAACTTGTTAGACATGTAACCAGACAGGAAGTGACTAAACTAAAATGTTTGATTCGGGTTATTTTTCTTCAAGGTCAAGTCCATGACTGGAGGTTTCCCAGAACTATAAAAAAAACACTTAAAGAAAAATAATGACATTAAACAAGTATCTGGTTGGAATAAATTTATTTGATCTGTTTGTAAACAAGGTGATAAATCAATTTATGGCATTCTTGGTTTATGCATACGATCGATGCATTAAAGACTATCTCAGAAGTAAGAAAACAAAATAAAGTGGTGAGGAAAGGAAATGAACAAATCAGCAAACAGGATTTGAAACAGTGTTTTTATGAGTACACATATCCCACAAGGCCTAAACAATGGAGCTGTAGCTAAAAGAAATGTGCTGATGAAATGTCGCCAGCAGTGGGTAAATCCATCGTACAGATCTCTACATTATGGCACAGGATACACAGGTTCTGCAATTTGGTTTCAACAGGACAACCATGAGCATCTTCGTTCCAACCAATCCCCTCCCATCGAGTGCCATTTCTACTTTTAGCAGTTAGTTGTTGGACGTTACACTTAGCAGTGCTGAGCGTGGACAGACCCAGTGATACCCCAGCGCTCAGCTGACTAGAAAGAAGGCAATTTATTCCACAGTTATGTAGTTAACACAGTACGGGTTTGTACAAATGCAGACAATCCCCCCCAAACAGTACAGACAAATATTATCTTCATACTCCGCCCTCTGTCATGTAGCTTTTTTTAATTCTAAACAGCCATAATGTGACGTTACTTCTTTTCATCAGAGGAGGTTGGTGACCTCACACGATTTTAAGCACTTGTATGAACGCCCGAGCTGCAACTACACTTGGTCCGATAAAAGAACAAAATTCTAACTGAACATACTCCAGATGGTTAAATGCTGGGATATCTACTCTCCAAAAAATAAAATGGCAGTCTTTCAATTAAACAAAAAAAAAAAAAAACATAACAGGAGATGGCAAACTAAACAGTGTTAAGAGCCTGAGCCATTGTTACTGTGGAATGTCCATGGGTTAGTGTAGTCTGGGAGGCTGCAATGCCATGAGTCTATGGATCGGACATGACCAACGCCAACACAGCTGGTTTATGATCGCTAGCTAAACTGATCCCATGCACAGACCACCAGCCCCCCTTTTTTATAAAGTTGGTTACAGGACAGTACAGTGACCCAGGAGGGTAGTGTTCATTAAAGGGTCTCAAGCAAGACATAGTGTCAGATTTTAGCTAACAATTTTTTTTTGGGGGGGGGGGGGGGGGGGGGGGGGGGGATCAAGATACTAAGAAATTTGGCAAGAAGCTACAGGTGAGAGTTTATCATAAATTTTGGTGGTCCAAGATATGCACAGTCTCCCCTCCTGTAAATGGAGGAAATAAAAGGAAGACATGATGAGCGGTTAGAGCTCAAGTGCTCCAAAGGCAAAGGCTGCTTCAGGAGGGAGTGTCTGATAAAAACCTGGGAGGATGTAGTGAAAGGTACCAGAAAAAAAAAGCAGGGAGCTTCTACTACACACAGATGCGATAACGTCCATGGTCTACAGATTCTGCCAGAACGGATGTTTTGCTGGTCTTGGTTAAGTACAGATTCGTCATGGCATCCTGTTTAGGAACATGCTCATCTTTGCTGTGATCAACTCAAAGTGTTTTAAATGAGAAATAAGAATACACAAATCATGTGTGTTGGAGGGGTGGGGGGGGGGGATAACAGAAAAGGATCAATGGAAAGAAGAAAAGGCAGGAAAAAATTACACACTAACGCTGGAAGTAGTGTGAAACGCAACTGGGTGGCAAGGGTGAGCTGCTAGCTGGGTATGGGTTGCTTTAATATCCTTGCTTCCTCAGGTAGTCAGCCATTTCATATGCTTTCTTGTTGAGCAGCCCTCCATGGACACCTTCCTTCCCCATGACAATAACCAATACTGGAGTACACAGGGGACAAAAACAAATAAAAAAAAAGAAAATGAATGAGACAGCAGGGATGATAATTAAAACACTTCCACCTTAGCTAAACATGAGCTACAATGTCAGGGGCGGGTCTGAACCCCGCACTGTCAGAATTTGTCCTGGGACTTTAACGAGCCAGGGGAGGAAAAGTGGCTTGATGAACTTTTTTGTCCATTTTTCTGAGTTATGTGTTTTTTGTTTTCCTTTTATTATTTTCTCCCTCCATTACAACAGATATGTCTAAACTAAAACCCTGAATCCCTCAAGTATTTTGCCATCGAGTATGCCTTCTTATTCAATCCACCTCCATGGACCCCTTCTTTGCCCATTACCAAGACCAAGACTGAAAGAAAAGAGACAGAAGGAACATTTAGAAAGGATGTGGAAATCACAAGTGAAGAGGGGAAAAAAAAGCACCGAGCCAAAAAGCAGCAGGTAAGGCAAGACAAGACAGCGGCGGAGAAGGACAATGGCAGTTTTTAGTTTGAATGTTGAGGCCGAAACCTTTTTCTTATCAGTGCTGCTGGTGATGAAAGACAGATCACGTTACACGACACTGTGAGCCTGGCAAGACTTAGGAAATACATGCAAACGCGTTCAAGTATGAGCTTGTTAAAAATCAAAACAAGCAGAAGCAGCAAAGCTTGCATCTACCCCGCCTTAAACACCTGTCACTAGGGTTGTCACGGTAACCGGTATAGCGGTAAACCCCGGTAAAAAAGTTGACAATAAAAATAGCCGTCCAGTTTTTAAAAAACTAAATTATCTCGGTGGGTTTACCGTGGCCGCGGTTTCGGCGCGGTGACCCTTACCAGCCACCGTCGCTTCAGTTTCCGCGGTGCGCACACGCACTTTTTAGTTTGCAACGGCACCAAAACCTTGAAGCTGAAATAATGGCCGAAGGAGGAGACGGCAGCGCCCAGGACATCCATCAGCCCTCAAAGAAGACTACATCGGAAGTATGGGCATATTTTGGATTTCTGAAAAATGCTGAGGGACAGTTAATAGAAGACTGCTATCCCGTTTGCAGAACGTGCAGGAAACAAGTGTCTGCAAAAGGCAGCAACACTTCGAATCTAACGGCACATCTGAGTGACCATCACCCACGTCTCTACAGCCAGTGCAAGGTAAGTTAACATTAGCATTTTAGCTTAAATGCATGACGTGAGGACTTTTGGCTGAGGGAGAATGCAACGAGTCGCTATATACTGCAGCCGCAGCGTCCTCTGCCAGCATTTAAACCGTGTCACGGACACCCTGTTGCTGGATGAAGCATCTTATTTGTTGATGATGAAGAGAAATATACAATTAGTTCCTTGTCATTGATTTGTTTACTTATTCAATGCCATTTATACTTGAACATTTGGATTTGATTACACAGTGTAGTAGTTATTTTAGTCATTTGTTTAAAGTGGCTATTTATTTAAATACATATTTTTTAAGGTTGACTTGTACGGTGCTCAAGTCAAGTGTGGACTGGAGTTTTAGATTTTCATTTTGATATGAAGAAAACAAGTATATGAGAAAACAAGTGGTGTTTCTTTGATTTGTTTACATATTGTTTATGTTTCAAATGTTTGGATTTGTATCATTTAAACCTGCACTGACTACTGTAACATGTTCCAGAAAAAGAAGCTATTTGTTCCTTTACTTGTGAAAAGTTGCACTTTTGCTAAGGCTTTGTGTTATTTTAGGTTTAATAAACACTGTTAAACCTTTTCAAAACTATTTCAGTTTGTGTAGAACAGGACTATCGATGCTTTCTGAACATATGCAACACCGTTTAAAAAATACCGCGATAATACCGAAAACCGTGATAATTTTGGTCACAATAACCGTGAGGTAAAATTTTCATACCGTGACAACCCTACCTGTCACCCTCCACACCACCGTGGGAACTTATTTCCTTTGCCAAATTCTGGTTTCCTTCCTAGAGAAGATCTAACGGGATACAAGAATGTCTGTTACACTCCTTCAATCCAGCATCTTTACTTCTCACAGCCAGCTGATCAGGCATTGCTCAAGGAGGAAATGCATCTCTAACAAAGAGCAAATGTTGAGTTAGGACTTTATGAAACAAGTGCCCAGGCTCAACGCTGACTATAATGGACACTTCAAACTAAGCTTGATTAACTCAAGTACCACAGACATATTTAGAAAATGCTTAAAATCGAGTTGGTTATTATCTGACAAAACTAATAAATTTGACATTGAAGCAAATTAGAAACAACTTATTTAGCCACAATTCACTACAATTCTGGTTTGACATCTGACAAACATTTCTCTACACCGTTACCACATGCAAACACCAGTTTCTGTCAAACCAGCTGAATCGGGGCACTCTTGCTTTTGTTACTTTGTAAGTGTGGCAAACGAGACCAAGAACGAGTTATTCAGGAAGACTGCACTTAGCTAAAAAGCCAGCAGCAAAGTATAAGAAACCCAAGGTTTGGACCATCTCTAAAACACATGCATCAACATGCTTGACAAACCTCTCCTCAATACATGCAAGAACATTTAAGCACCCGAAAACAATTAGGGAGTGTAAACAGGAAGGAAAAGTTGCATGCAATTCAGGAAGGTTTAAGGAAACCCTGGGCTTGAGATTCAGGTCAGTGTGGAAAACCTGAAATTAGTTTGTCCTCAAATAGTTTCACCTACAAAATCTGAGTGTCGGAAGTGTGTGGAAAACGGTGCAGGGACACTTTCAGACAGGAAAACTGGCACAGATACCAGGGAAGTCCATAAAGGCCTCTACAACTAATTTTCCCCATGTAGTGTCCATGTAAGATTAAGAAACTTTAAAACAGCATTACTAGAAAAATGTGTTCCGGGACAAATGTGACCAACAGTCGCAGACTCATTCGTATTATCAAACGTGTCTCTGTAGCTCTGAACTTTGTGTACGTCTAACTTCACCAGTATGTCTGGCAGCTGTGTGATCTCAGAGAGTGGACACAATTATTTAGTTTACAACCTAAACTAGAAAGGGGAGTAAAAAGCTAATCAAGACACATTACACCAAACATAACTGTTCTTACTCTGACAGATATTTTTTGTTATTTGATCATTCAAACAGGTTTATTCTACATGAAGTTAAACTAGCCTGGCCTGCCAGACTCATCTGTTAAACTCTGCACACAGAAAGTCTGGGAAATCTATTCAAATAATAGTATTCAAACTCCACCCCCTGAGAATTCTAACCGAGCCAATCAGCGCTGAGCAGTGTACAACAATGCCTAGTTTGCCATAAACATGGCGACTGAAGCGGAGTTGCGGCTCTTTCCTCTGTTCTAAATTACTTGGACCGGTCTTTAAAACCACAACAAGTAGAAGGGCTAAAATACGTTTGTGCCGCCAGACGCCATTTTTGACTACAGCAACAAATAAATAAATAAAAACAACTACAGTGTCGCACAGTACAGTCAGCATTTCTGTCTTTTTTCTAACTGGTTATTTTTGAGCTGGCTAGTCCCGCCTCTTATGTGCCTCTGTAGAATTAAACAGGAGGAGTCTGGAGGCCAGGTTAAAATGAACTTCATGCAGAACATCTGGACCTTGATAAATAATCATACATCAATGTCTGTTAAAGTGCACGTGCCAACCCCATTGTAACTACTGAAATTACAGGCATTATCTCGTAATTTTACGCTTGTCATATATTGAGGAAAGGTGCATTCAACGCCTGTACAACATGCATTCACAACACAAAGAAGAAAAACTTGGAGCAGACTACTGTGTAACAAAAAATAAACTACACTAAAGATGGAGGCAGAACTCACCTTTGCCTGCTTTGCCTACAGAAATATTGTATGTTGGTTCCCCTGAATTACTCTTTGTCCGGATGTCCATTGTCCAGTCACCGTCAACTAAGAGGCTGTCTCTGATTACTGAGCACTTTCTACCACCTAAGGTCAGCCCGCTGGTAAAGAATCCCATTCGGTCCTTTCCTACTATTATATCGATCTCGTCAGCCTGAAACAAAAACAGAAACAAGTCAACCACACTTGTTAGTTATGGTGGGTGGGGGTGGGGCTGTTGGTTTGTTATGTTGAATCTGACATTTAAAATGTTAACCAAATACATGCCACCTCACTTACTTGAATTGTGGTGTGTTCAATTAATTCCAAATTATTTAAGACACTCGCTTAAAATGTACCTGTTATACTGAAAATCAAACATTTTACTTCTTGAACGGCAAACGGCCTGTATTTGTATAGCGCCTTCCACCCATTCACACACTGGTGGGGATGAGCTATGATGTAGCCACAGCTGCCCTAGGGCAATTAAGACAAAACCCAGCTATAGAATAACTAAAGTGATGCAGGCTCCGCTGTATCAGAACGCTGACAAACATAAGAGCAAAGTTAAAGATTAAAACAGTTTAAAGTAGGGCTGGGGGTAAACGATTATTTTTAAAACGATTATTCTGACGATTATTTTATCAAATAGTCGACTATTCTAATGACTATTTAGAAAATTAATCTAATGATTATTTTTCTATTGCACAATTAACAAAAACCAGAAAATCTCAAATAAATTCCTCAAAAAAATTGATAAATTCTTACTGTAAGAGAATAAACACTACAGGCCTTCCATTTTGTATAACACTGCTTTTATTTTATTTTATTTGTTGCGGTTGGTTATGTTCTGGTGACGTGTAGAACTTGGGAGTGCAGGCTGCTGCCTGAGAGGTGGTAGAAGATGGAGTGTCTCCATGCTGCTTTGTTTTGGTCACTTATGTGCGTGAGGCGAGTGGTCTTATGGGTTAAACCAAACTCAGGTGATATTTTACACTAAACCGAAAACCCACAACACTCTAAATGTAATAAAAGGGAGATCTACACCACAAAAAAGATGAACTCTAAACCAAAACGTAACAGCTTATCCCAACGCAAGAAGCTGTTAGCGAAGATGCTAACAGTAGCTTTACCAACGTTAAGTTCAAGTTACCAAGTTTAAATAAACCAAAAACACCCAGCAGCAAACAGACCAGCACGGAGGAGAGACTGCTACCACCAAAACAGCTCTCCTCATGTCTGAAAGAAGCTCCTTAATGAAGGGAGAAGCGCTCCCGGTGATTTTCTACATCTGCGATAGACACGAAGCAGCGCATCTGACCCCGGAAGTTGTTGTCCGTTGCCGGGAGACGAAGGGGCAAAACAGGAAAATAATCTAGTAGTGGACGGACGTTGTTCCGGGTCTTCGGTATTTGGCGGAGATTTTAGTGAAGGCGGAGAAGAGGGCGAACTAGAGGAAAAACGGGCAGATTCCTCCTCTATTTACAAACTCCTGGGGATGCAACAAGTGGGCGCGGTGCGTCGACTTCCGGATCTGACGTCGACAAATTTTTAGAATCGAGCCGTCGACTTTGTCGAGGCTTCGCTACAGCCCTAGTTTAAAGGTAAAAAGAATGAGTACTGACTCTTTGAAATGTGCAGCTGTGGAGCTCAGACATGTTGGGCTAACTGCAGGAGTCTAAAACCTCATTTACACTCGAGTATGGAACGGATGCAGACTGGAATCTGTGCAGCTTCCAGGTGAACTGTTAATTACACCTGTTGCAAATCGTGTGTGTGGAACATCTCACTGTTGCTCATGAGTTCCTACGATAACTACATGTATAGAAAGAAGCAGCTAAACAAAAGCCACACTCGCCATCCCGTACTATAAACTGAACCAATATACTTGTCATTGATAACAGAAAACTGAAGGATGCAACACAAATATTTCTTAAAATAACCTGGATACACCTAGCTGCCACATTATTTCCTGTCTCATGTACTTTAACATGTGGTGTCTGCAAAAAAACAAATCATGCAGAAAGACTCAGCAGCTTCACATATTGATCTGCTCCTCACTGAAGTCTGTAAATTCTGACTAGACTCCATGATTGTCAGCTTTTGTGGAAGCTGCACGAATTCTGATCCTTGTCCATTCCACACCCTTTGTGAATGAGGCTCAAAGCTGACAAACCTGATAGGCAGCCCCAGTAACAACAACGATAATGTTTCCCTGTGTGAAAAAAGTTAATTTCACCAGACAGTTTTGATCAAGGTAGGTTCAAACACTCCAGAACAAAGGGCCCTTAAAAGATCACACCCACTACACTTAAGGTTTCAAAAAGACTTTGGATTTCCAGTCTAAGATAACATTACCATGGAGGCTACATGTACTGGTCGTATCAGTGAATAAATTATAATTTTACCCTCGTAATGCATATTCACCATCTAATAAATCTCAGTCCTCTCATTTTAATAGCCTGAATATAACTCTTCAGAAGCGACTGTTTCACAGAAGCAACGAGCAATGAATGACAACGCACGTAACCCAAGAAAATAAAAGGATCACAAAATCGTGTTATACTTTTAAATATTACATTGATAGTTTGTTTGACGTTTTCCAGCGGACAGGGAAACAAATCGATTAGAATAAGCAATAAACCGCACAGGGACACTCCCAAGAAGCCTCGCCTAAAGGCGGAAAAGGGCTCCGGGTTTAATTCATACGATAAGAACGTTCTAGAAAAGCTATTAGATAATTGCTGCAGCTGCACGTTTCTAACCTCAGATTTACCTTTTTAAAATATTTGCTCAGAAGAAAAAAAGGACAAAATGGAGGCATTTGGGAAAATTGCAGCAAATGACCGTTTAAAGCCAGAGAGGATTAAAAAAAACTAACGACAATCAATAAAAATAAGCTTTGTTAAACAGCAAACGCTGTTCGATCACAGGGAACAATATTTTACGTTACGATTGGCTTGTATGAAGTACTTATTATGAAACTGGGAGTGTATCCGCCATTTTGGAGAAAGTGGGCGGTTATGACTGTGATATTTCACAGGAGCCGAACAAGAGAAAAAGACCAACGGTACGTTAGCGCGTCAGAGCAGCTAGCTCTTAGCTTCCACCGACTTTCCAATGAGAATGACCAGCCTCTTTAGCACTAGACCCGAAAAGGTTTAAGTGGTAACAACACCGATTGTTTAGTTGTGAATAAAAAAATTACAAACGTAACTAATACGGAGCTAAATTTGATTCTTCAGCCGGCTAACAGTTTAACTAAACTGGCCAGTGTCGTGCCGAAAAAGAAATTCATGACAAGTTGTGGCAGCCTCGCCAGCCACTAAACATTCATCCTAAATAGCAAACAAATGTTGTTCTCAAGTGTTACATATTGTCACAGACAAGCATTTACTTTGGACGTTCAATTAAATGTTTAATTAGAACAAATGTCTTCAAACGCGCCTTCCGTGACGGAACGGAACAGGGGTTCTCTTTTTTGGCACAACACTAGCAGCGCACGCTAGTTAGCTTTACTATTAGCCGATTTAGCCTAGTTCATAGACCACCAAAGTCGCTCGCCTGGGTTATATCGGGTGACGGTAGTTTTCCTTTCTTGCACAAAACCAAAACAAGAACCTTACTCAAAGGCAAATAAATACTTTATTAAATACAAACGTATAGCAAAGAGTTTACGTGTGTCCACCGGATACCATGTGTACCGCACTCAATACAAGGCCTGGCTATGCAGACAAAACGTTCAGACACGGAAAATACGATTTCCACGTTTTCAAATGTAAAAAATGCTGACAAAAAGACCTTACTAACCGTGATGCCAGCAAATGAACCACCAGCAAAAGATGCCCAGACGTATTTGGCGTCAACGTATCCAACAATGGCCGCGTCCTGGCAGCTGCCATCACCCATCAGGCTTTCCACGTAGCCTTGCCAGGACATGTTGGTGATATTGGTGCTGAGACGGGAAAACTAAGTGAAGTAAAATTAAACCACAATCGTCTATTATAAGACGAAAAGCTAAGTTTATCGGTGGTTAACGGATTTCCAACAACCAAAACCGCCCGGCTCCGTCCCGTCCCGGCTTTCTTCAGGTCCAGGCAACGAAGAGAAGCCGCCGCAATCAGACAGAGGCTTGGGTGTAGTCCTTCCCTAAATCCCTCCGCTTGAGTCGTTGTTCGTCCTTGTTCCCTCGTTTCATGCGCAGCTGCGGAATATTACCGTGGATCATGATGGCAATAATCTACACGGACTACTTTTCTCCAGTTCCTTAAAGTCTAGCCTGTTCCGAGTCCTTCCTGATTCTTTGTTGGGTTAAAGCCTTTTATTTGTTTATAGATTATAACTAGTGTCACATAATGGTAAATTTCGTAGAATTAAACATTAATTATTAAATTCAGTTTATCATCAAAGCACAAAAAGTTAGTTTTTACATGCAATCTAAGCATTTAAATTTGTTCCATAAACTAAAATACACTTTAAAAACAGTATGAGTGTTTGATGCTCTGAAGCAGCCAAGCTTAACACAGTGTTTGACCACAATGTAAGTACCGATGGTAAGTACCCTTATTTGTGTTTCACATTTATGCAAAATGCATGACGTGTTCACAATCTAAATAATATCCCAGTTATTTAATTGAGATGTACGAAATTTTTTAAGTTACATTTTACTTGCTCAGCAGAACACACACACACACACACACACACACACACACACACACACACACACACACACACACACACACACACACACACACACACACACACACACACACACACTGATGATGTCATTTATCAAATCAAACCTTTGACTTCTGCAGGACAATATCAAGCCACCAGGCCTACATATGTCTGTGTTTGTATTTGCTCCATGGAAACCATGACCTGTGGTCTTGTTGTTCCTCTCCTGTATGTACCACCTGTGCAACTGCCAACTTTCAGCTAAATATAATATTGTAAAAGAAATGTTCTCTCTCATCTTGGGATGTTTTTTTAGCATAAACTACCTGGTAAAGACTTATACAAAGGTAAATCTGCCATATTAAATCAGTTACAGGCTATAGATTGTGTTCCGTGACAAATGCATTGCTGCAAAGGGCAAATAAAAAGAACACCATTTAGTGGCCTTTACAAGCAAAATAAGTATTACTTAAAAAAATCAAAATTAAAACAGATTTGCTTCCAAAACCTTTAAATTTGAGCTGAGTGCATCAAAACTTAAAAAAGTAAACTCTATTCCTTCAGCCACAAAAATGCAATCAATTACAAAAATACACACTGACACACATATTAAACAAAACTTATAACAAAAACATATTTTTCTTTTTTATCTTTCAGGGCTGGTATACATTTTTAAATAGTTTTACATACATATATTTTATTCCAATACTTATTAAATTTTGGCTTTCTGTTGAATTGCAAGAAAGCAGAAAAAGTTATTTACTGACCAGACTGAAAAATGTAACCTGTCAGTGGGTCAGCCACACCCATATCCTTGTCTCCCATTGGTTGACAGCCGTTTCCATGGCCACCTGTGTTTTGCACCTCAGCTGAGTCAAAATAGTAGGACTAGCAACTCCCACTGCTCAGCCTGAGAATGAGTCACGCAGACACAGAAGATCTAACTTGTTTTTTCTGTTTAGAAATGGGCTGTTAGAATAATGCTCTGTCATCATCACAGCTGGGCGAGACAGCTTCTCAGTTCTTTCCCTTTCATTCCTTTTATTTTCCTTTTTATCACACTGATGTAAAAATGTGAAGCCTGAAAAAGATGCTGAAGTGCTAAAAGTAACGTTTTTAAGGTTGTTCTGAAGGGCCTTGTGATGGAATAAAACAACCCTTTAGCAAAGGTCAGTGCTTGCATGTGATCCAAAGCCACATAAGTCATACTTATTGAGAAATGTGCCTCTGTTTAGTAGCTTTATTATTTGGACAAATTCTTTTGGATAAACAAAAGATGTAAAGATAACTATTTTACTTATAAAAATGTTTAAATGAGGCATATTACGACTTTTTGTCAAGTTATAAATAGTTCTATGGTTTATAAAAAACATGTTTATGAAGTTCTTTGCACAAAATTCCTCGCACACAAAGTAATTAAAGCAGTTTTTCTTGAAAGTTTCAGTACCTTCCAGAATGAGCTGTTTCAAGGCCCTATCACTTTTAGAAAACAAGCTGGAGCTGACCACATCCACCCCTCCCTCGCTCAGGCTGCTATTAGCTAAGAAGCTCTGTTATCTGAGAGAAGCTCTGAGTAGAGTCGCCACTAGTCCAATGGCATCAGCTCTTCTCCAGGTGAGAGGGAGTTCCATGTTACCTTTACCTTTTATGATGTCACAAACAGGACTTTTTGAAATGGCTTGTTTTGGGCACATGAGTCTTAAAGCCAAACACCGACAAAAAAACAAAACAAAAAAAACTGAATGGACACATTTTGCTGTTTTGTTAGTAGTAGACACCCACATGGCAACAGAAAATAATTTAAAAAATGTGAGTTTGGAATAATATGTCCCCTTTAACACATAGGCTATGGTTAAAGTTAAGTCATGCATATTGTTTGTGTCCATGTACCTAAAAACTGTTTTGATGTGCAGCATACCCATGTCCTTGCTTCTCACATGGCTTCAGTTGCACACTTGAGTTTATTACCTGCCGATGGTGGGTCCACATGGAGGTGGCTTCTTGCAGCATAGAAAAAACCTATAAACCAAGGTTAGATCACCAGGCCCTTACTGATGAGCTCTAGCCTGGCAAGCTATCCTATAAATGTAAATATATAGTCTGTCCATGACTTATAGAGACAGTTCAGTTGGGGTGTCTTTCAAACTGTCTCAGTGTGCTATTGGACAATGCACTATGTGACATGGTCATTGCTATGGATGTCAGTCAATGGGGCAGTCCTCCATACACCAGCATTGTTTGTGCATGTAATAATAATAATACATCAAACTTAAATATTATGTTTATTTATTTATTAGACGCTTTTATCCAAAGCGACTTACAATTTATAACCTATAGGGCATGTTGTGAATAGCGCTGTTTAGGACACTCAAGACACTTTCATGCACACTGCCAGTGATGGTAAGCTACTTTGTAGCCACAGCTGCCCTGGGGTGGTCTGACAGAGGCGAGACTGCCATTTGGCACCTCGCCATCTCTGACCACCACCAACACAGACAAGTTGGGTGAAGTGTCTTGCCCAAGGACACAACAGCAGAATACCCCTGGTGGGAGCTGGAATCCAACCCATGACCCTCCGATCATGGCAACCCGCTCTACCTCCTGAGCTACTGCTGGTATAAAATGTTGTTGCAAAACTTCTCTCCTGACAAATTTTGAATTTGAATTTTGAAAAAAGACCAAGGAAACTCTAGATAAAACCCTCGTGACCTTAGAGGACAAAAACGCTCGCTCATAAAAGTTGCTATAAAAAATGGATACATTCTTTTTTTTTTTTTTCTTCGTTTCACAGATCTGTTAAACGTCAGCCCTGCCCAAACCTATAAAAATGTAATCATTTTGAGGATTTTAACCCTTAAAATTCCAGTTTGATTACTCAATGTCATTACTGCAATTTGTAAAAAAAAAAAAAAAAAAGAGTTGTTTTCCAAAAATAATTTTTTTGCCTGTGGCATTTATTACAATTCAGTCTAGGTTATGTTATGAAATATCTAAAAAATTTAAATTTTTGCATCAATAGTTTTTGTGTAGCAACAGATTTAAAATTTCCCATCCTGTTCTATCGAGGACAAAAACATCAGACTTCCATTCAAGCCACAGTTTTTGATTCTGTAACATCTGCAAAAATAATCATGCATTCAGTAACATTATGGTTTTACTTTGGAGAAAAGTAGTCAAATTTGTGATTTTTACTGTTCACCACCAAATTCAGTCATTTAGCCCTGGCAAGAAACTATACACATTTCTTTAGATCTTCTGCTGTTTGTACTGAAGTCAAAAGGTCAACTTGACCTCTGATGAGTAAATAAAACACAGTTTCACTGTCTTGCTGAACTTCAAAGTGTAGAAAACAAAAATAATTAGTATGTTTATGCACCTGCCTGGAGGCAAATCGATTTTTGAGAAAATAACTCATTTGTTTTTTCCTTTTTCATAAATTGCAGTAATGACAAATTTTTATCGATTTGAGCACGACTGAAGTTGTTTAACAGATCTATGAAAACGAAGCACAAAAAAGTATACGTTTTTTATAGTCACTTTTATGGAAGGATGTTTTTGTCCTCTAAGGTCAGAAGAGGGTGGTAAATTTATTAAAATGATGCCTGAGGGTTATTGGTTTATTGTACAGTAGTGATGGTAAGATGGAGCACAAGATAGACCAATGGATCAGGGCTTTGTCTTCAGAAATGAGGGCATTACTCTGTCGTGGTGAAAAAAGTAGTAAGACAAAATGCTGGTCCTCATCAGTTCCAGTCCACTCCCATGGAAACAATGTGTATTATAAGACAAAACATACAGGCATCCTAAACAAGCCTCATCAGAAGGATGGCTGTCCCTGATATGCTGTCCCTCCACATCAAGGAAACTTAGATGAGGTGCTTCAGACATCTGACTTGGATAATGCCTCCTGGCTTGCTTGGTTTGAAGGGTTTCCAGGTATGTTCGATTAGGAGGAGATCTGGAGCAGAATCAGATTTCACTAGTGAGATTAAATTTCCCCTTTGGCATAGAAGCGCCTCTGGATACCCCAGGAGAAGCTGGCATAGAGAGATATTTTGGTTTCTCACCTGGATCTGCAGCCTTCTTGACCTGACCTTGGATGAGAGGAAGAAAATGGATGGATGATGATAGATGATGGACAAATGGATAGACGATGAACTTATGTATGTATGTATGTATGTATGGATTATGGATGGATGGATGAATGATAGATAAGGGAAAATTGTATGGATGGATAGATAGATGGATGGATGGATCGGTGAATGAATAGATGGTAGATGATGGACAGATGTATTAATGGATGATGAATGTATGTATGTATGTATGTATGTATGTGTGTGTGTGTGTGTGTGTGTGTGTGCGTGTGTGCGTGCATGCGTATGTATGTATGTATGTATGTATGCATGAATGCATGCATGCATGCATGTATGTTTGTATGTATGTATGTATTGATGGA